CGGTAGTGGACGCTCCCTGCTGATGCGGGCCTGGACGTTCGGTAGGTTCCCAGGCAGGCCGTATTGAGGCCAGGACCAGAGGCACATGGAGGCACACCTGCGAGACCCAGCGCTACTTATAGCTGGGCCAGGCCAGGGCAGACACAGTTGGAGTAGCTCACTCCTTGGGCAACATGCTGGTGGAGCAGCGCTACAGCGCTACGCTGGAGGTAGAGGTAGAGGTGTAGGTAGGGAGTGAGGCCGAGGCCATACCTGCATCGACGGGATCCTACCTGGGCGCCATAGCTAGTCTTCACACCAGCGCACCTGCAGCACAGAGGATACACGTGACGGCAGTTAGTACATGGCGGCAGTTACTTGCAGGTGAGATAGCGAGGAGGATGACATCTTCTTCTTCTTTTTCTCTCGCCCTCCATCTCTCCTACTTCCTTCTTCTTCTTCTTCTTCTTCTTCTTCTTCTTCTTCTTCTTCTTCTTCTTTCAGAGAGAGAGAGAGAGAGGTTACAGGCAGAGGTTACATCGGGCGTGAGGCCTGGGATCTGATTCGACATTTTGTGGCAGACATTGATTGGACATTCGACAGGGAGACCATTTTTGGAATTCACTATCACGATCTTGGTCTTCTCCCTCACCTCCATCTTCGTCTCGCCTCTCCCTCATCTCTTCATCCGTGGTATCTCCCCCATGTGCGTGTGCAAGGAGGGACCTTTCTTCCATGTATGTGGTTCCTCCTCCCTCTCTCACATGTGTGGTGTATGATGGGATGTCGCATCAGTCTCTGATAGTTCAGGTCATATCTTCGAGTCTTCCGCTGCGCTACATTGTGCTAATTTCATATGTATCTGGATGTACATTGCTTGTTGATGCTTTGCTGACACTGTATTGTCCATTCGAGTCCTTTTCATCACTTTGCGGATCCTTGGCTCCCCATACATCGCTCGGCTGAGCATGTATCATAAGTCTCCAACCGCACAGCTGGCCTCACGCTACTTCCATCGATAGGATGAGCACAATCGAATGAATCTTCTGCTAGAACATGGAAATATACACTACTACAC